TCAAAACTCCTAAAATCCGGGTCTCTGGCAAACGAAGATCTCAGAAAACCAAGTCCACGAGTTCAACCTAGAATGTCTTTGCAAATAGCTGCATCGTGTAGACAAAACATTTCTGAAGAAAATGAGACGACATTTTCTCGTGAAACAGGATAAATTTGGCTCTGACATGTGGATGTTCAAGGCTATGAATGATAAATACGCGGTATTGAGAAAGACAGAGAAGAAAATGAGGTTTAGATGAAAAATCACAAATTTTATCGTTTGTTTTAAATTAACGGTTTTTTCGGGTGAACGCAGTTCACCTTATTTATACACAAACATATCAACCGTTAATACTTCTGTTGTGTATAAAGTATATTTACATAATAAAAATAATATTAAATCAATTCCATTATGCTACAAAAGAACTCTTTTATACTTGAATGATTCGATATTCGAAAGAGGAACTGCTTGCTCCTTCTTCTCAGTCAATTCACTTAATTCAGAAACGAAAAATATTTATGACATGAGTTGAATGGATACATGAAAAAAACTTTTTTTGTATTGATAGTAGATGTATGCGTCAGTGAATTGCTGTCTGTCCTCACAAACATTTCCAATATGAAATAAACGTTTAGTTATAGATAGATGATTATTATTTGTAAAACGTGACATGACTCCTCCGCGAATCGACTTTTCAATGGAACGACTCTGCCGTTAATTGAAATGTGGTGGCAGTAAGCAGCGTGAGAGTGAGTGTGAAAAGGATTTCATTCGCGGAAGAGTCGGTATACTATATTTTTCGGATTGCATCCATACATTGAGCAATCAATGGATGATTGAAATTAAAAATATGTTTACGTACGTTCAATGCATATTCGTAGTTATTTAGAGCACAATCAAAGTCACCTATATCATAATAGATATCACCTAATAATGATGTAATACCACCAAATGCTCGATGAGTTTTGGGTACAGTTTGTTTATTCGTGTAGAAAGGGAGGTATGAGCTTTTCATTTTTCATCGGCTTTTTGAACATAGTGCGATTGCCCCCAGCTTTTTCGATGTGGAAACTGGTAAGCTCATTTGGCGTAAACGAAGGATCGCTCTGACTTCCCCGACATCTGGTTGGGTAGAGAATGGTCTGCTATATTGTCTTACTTTATTGAAAATGTTTTTTTCTACTTCGATATGGTTTTCGGAGATGTTCTAGAGAATCAGTTTTTCGGAAAGGATGTGCATATTTTTTAATGCAAAATTTCAACGGTTTTCGATTCAGTTAGGCTTGCTAAGTATCCGGTGAAGATTTCAAGTTTTTATGAACTATCTGTTGGAAAATACCATGCCACTGAATATTTTTTGAATAACAGGAAAATGGAACGTGATAGTGTTCAAAGAGACGTTCAAGAGAAGAGACTTTTAGACACGTCTTTATAATGGATGTTAGTTTGAAAATATTAGTTTAAACTAGGTTTTCGAGGAGATCTTTGGAGACCAACTCTCCAGCCTAAGTCAAAAGAACTTCAAGTGCAAATATTTTCCAATTTTTCCATGGATAAAAATCCAAAATGTTCTCTTCAAATGGGGCTCAAGTGAGACCTTGATTTCCAGTGGTTCGAACATGATATCCAGTTTTTCAGAAACTCTAAGAAATAACCAAAACCTTTGTTAATGAGACATGATTGTAGCCCGCGAAATTCTCATAAAAATGCGACATCTCCCAGCTCTATATGACTTTTCTTTGCAAAGTTATAGAATTTAAATGCATTTTCTAATGAAGATAACATCGTTGTCTAAACGACAACCAAATAATTCTGAGAAAAAAAAGCAAGAATAAATACATCGAACTCGAGATTCAATCACTTTCATCGTCCGATTTCTAAAATAAGTTGAGTCACAGAGAATAAAAATAATAACTAATTACTTTTATCATCGCTACAATTATAACAGATTTAATTAATGGTAGTGAATGTTAATGTTTATATCACCACTAATATATCTAATGTTTATTATCGAGATTGAATTGAAAATAATTATTTGACAGGTATCTCGATTTTACCCGTAGTGGCAGGCCAAAATGATTATAGTTTCTTGCACAGATACAGATCTAGGTATGTTACAAACCCAAACCCAAACTCAAGCGACTTGGGTGTATTGGGTTTGGGTATTGGGTACCCAAGTCTTGGACCTGGGTTTGGGTTTGGGTTTAGGTACCCAAGTCTAAGACTTGGGTTTGCGTCAGTTGCCAAAGTACATTAATATTCTTCTTCAATAAAACCTAGCAGTAGTACCTTACTTTCTTCTGGCATACTATTCATTTATCTTTTTCTCTTCATCGTCGGTGGTTTCGCTTTCAAAACTTCACATTTTTGTCAAGAAGTGTTATGTCATTGGCTATCATTAACACCTTTCACGCCTCCGAGATTGAAGACGACAATGGAGATTTCATCTGGCTGATTGAAGGTTTTAGGTGCCATAAAAGAATCCCGTATGTATATGTTTATTAGATCAATTAAAAGAATACAAAATCGCACACAATAATTACTCCATGTGTTGTAATGTAAATGTAAATCTCATAGTGTTGTGTAAAACTTGCTGTACTCAAAAAATTTTTCGACTAGCCTAGATGAAAGAGCGTGTTTTCAAACCTGAAGTGTCCAGTTTTGTGAAAATCTGTTTAGCAGTTGAGATTTTAGTTGTTGTACCCAGCGCGCCTATTCGGACGTTGTTTTGATTCTTCATTTCAAAAGGTGCTCCGTTCCTTATTATTTTTTCTGAAGCTTTCTTTTATGCCGCATTCGTTGCAAAACAAATTTTCTTTTGTTGTTAGAATGTTTTTATGTGCAAATAATGAATGAAAGTTAGATAGAAACAAACGATACATGATAGAATAAAAGAAAGATAAAGATGTAAACTAACGCAACGAAAAAATTTACTGAGACGTCTCCAAGCTCTTTATGACATTTTTTCGTGAAACAGGATTCAATTTACGGTTGCCCCCTATACCAGCACAACTAACGGGTAAGCAAGGAAGAACGATCATAGGGCATTCCTCAAATTGAATCCTGTTTCACGAGAAAATGTCGTAAAGCGCTTGGAGACATCTCATTTTCTTCAGAAATGTTTTGTCTACACGATGCAGCTATTTGCAAAGACATTCTAGGTTGAACTCGTGGACTTGGTTTTCTGAGATCTTCGTTTGCCAGAGACCCGGATTTTAGGAGTTTTGATAGAATGTTTGAATACAGCACATCAGATCGAAAATTCTTTCAGTTGGTCAAATCTTTCTTCAAATTTGTTCTAGCTACTATGGTCGCCGAGAAAAGTGAAAAATAACGGTGGCGAATAAGTCTTGAACCCACTGTGAGTTTAAACGGCGAAGTATTTTAATACACAGAAACCGCTGCGAAGCTTCGTTCAGTTTCCTATTAGCACATATTGTAGAGTTTTCCAAGGCGCATCGAATGATGTATGAATGATTAGACTGTTTAGCAGTTGAGATTTTAGTTGTTGTACCCAGCGCGCCTATTCGGACGTTGTTTTGATTCTTCATTTCAAAAGGTGCTCCGTTCCTTATTATTTTTTCTGAAGCTTTCTTTTATGCCGCATTCGTTGCAAAACAAATTTTCTTTTGTTGTTAGAATGTTTTTATGTGCAAATAATGAATGAAAGTTAGATAGAAACAAACGATACATGATAGAATAAAAGAAAGATAAAGATATAAACTAAAGCAACGAAAAAATTTACCTTTTCGTTTGCTAAAGAGTTTCTTAGTACAATAAAAATATAATAATGCTAGCAGAAAAACGTTTTCTTTGCTTTGTTTTGTCTTTTTCGAAAACAACAATTTTCTGTGACTCTGATAGCAACTATACCGTTAATTTAAAACCGAAAATCACCTTCATTTAGAGATCAAATGAGCTTCTTACAACGTTTTTTTCTCTGAAAAGATTGTATCATTATCTTGTTCTAAATTCCTTTTCTGCAATGCACAATGGCTCATGCACTGAATTCAACGAACTCTCGTTATACAGACATTTGTGATGAGCCTGTAGAGAAATTACTTACACCGATTAGTGGTCATCAGTATCAACCATTGGTATCATTAGAAGAGGCTGTTGAACCAATCGATCATTTATTTAATGATCTTCGAGATTATGTTTTGGTTGCCAAACACAACTGTCGAAATCCTGATGAAGGCTTGACACAAGATGAATCAGCTGCAAGAGAACGCCCATTAAGAACGTCCAGCGGAAAAATGGCGTTTTTCGTTCTTTTTTCCTTCTTTCTCGATTTTGATGATACCTCAGCCCATCGTGAACACGTACCGTGCAAAAAAGTTGAAGCTCTACAAAGTAGACAAATTTTACCCGATTTATTTGAAGGTTTTTCATATAATCTATACTGAAACAAACGCAATTCTGACCATGCTTGTCCCTTCAGAACTTTGAACTTTCATTGTTTACAGCCTCGTGAATGGTTAGGTTTTCAAATTTTCTTTTTCTTCCATTGCGTAGTACACATTAAATTACATCCAGCAGAAAAGGAAGTCGCACGAAACGGTTCGCTTTTTACTTGTTCTTGCCTGGTTTTTTTGTTACCTTATGCTACGAGAGAGCAGAAAGGTGTACCTTCCACAACGGTCAGTACTTGTTGAGGAATAAAACATTTTTATTAAATTCTGAAAATGCAGTCATTCTTATCGAAGCGAATGACTGAGACATTCTCTGCAGTTTTTAGCATAGACTTAGGAAAAAGTTGTTCTCCGTCTGGCTGACGAGTTAGTCGTTAGTTTTTTTATCGGACCAATACAATGGCTACGCACACCCTATATTCACTTATTTTTGATACCACCTCGCTCATTATTTCTTTTTATAAAACGATGATAACATGGAAGTTAAGGTGGAAATTATTTGTGTAAACCAATAATAACATTCTCTAGTCATTCCTAGAGAATTAAAATTCTACAAGCGTCATAGGTTGACACTGTTTTGACTCTCATGTAGAAAGAACTTCAACAAGTTTGAAAGAAATACAACCATTCTTAACCGTCACATTCAAAATAAATATCGCATAATTTCATCCATGTTTAGCGGTTCGACCTGAAATTTTCAGCAAAAAATATATATTGAAAAATATATATCTCATTCAGAATGAAACATGCAACTTTTTTTAGTCGTTTGATAGTGCAATTAGCTAAAGAAGCTTAACATATATTTTTGCTGGAAATTTCAAGTCGAACGGGTAAACATGGAAGAAATTTTGCGATATTTATTTTGACTATGAAGGTTAAGAATGATTGTATTTCTTTAAAACTTGAAGTTTGATGATATACAATTTTTAAAATATCAACCAATTTGCGATCGAGTTTTGAACGTAAAACCTGACATATGCCGTATATACGTACGATTCTCCAAGAATGGCTAGAGAGTGTTATTATGAGTTTACACAAATATTTTCCACGTTAACTTCCATATTATCGCCGTGTTATAAAACAAATAAGGGTATCAGATAAGAGGTGGATATGCAGATGTGAGTAACCATTGGTCCGATAAAAAGACTAGGTGTCCCAAAGGATGCGTCATGTCAAAAAACCGTAGCACCCAGCGGACCTCGAAACTTGAAAGATAGTTACTTCAGAACTTAAGAAACAATACTTGTTGCAAGTCCCCTATTCAGAATGATATTTTAGTATGGATTGTTCGAAAAAACCTGAAAAAGAGTTGGTTAACATTTCTTCTAAGTCATAGACTTTTTCCGTTTTTTACTGTACTTAGTTTTTCATCAGCTGTTTTTTGTCAAATACTGAGAAATTATCTATGAGAACTGCTGTTTCATTAGTTAGCGTTTTTCTGCTACAAGTTTCGAGATTAAGAAATGATTCTTCACTAACGTCCAACCGTTCTGACATGTAAAATTCCATCGAAACGATAAATCAGAGCAAAGATATGTTTCCGCAGTCAAAAGTTCTCCATGGTAAGTCGTTGGCTTTCGAAATTCTTTGGCCCTCTACTCTCTATCCGGTTTCAGGTGGATCGCCTTCCTTCTCCCACTAAAAGTATCGAACGTTCTAGATGAGTGGCTTCGAATACATTTATATACAATGCAATTTGATAGTGGACCAAGTCTGTATAAAATATTAAATGAAACATTACGAGCCGAAAATCGTGACAATTTGAAAGATTGGTTTTTATTTTTAAAACTATTTTTATCTGCATTAGAAAAATTACCATCAGCAGCACAATCAGTTTATCGTGGGGTTAAAGATGTCGATCTAAGTGATAAATATATTAATGGTGAAAAGTTTGTTTGGTGGGGTGTTAGCTCTTGCACATTAAATATAGAAGTTTTACAATCAGAACAATTTTTAGGTAAATTTGGAAAAAGAACATTATTTTCAATTGATAGTAAAAATAGTAAATCGATTATAACCCATTCATACTATAAAAAGCTTGAAAAAGAAGTGATACTTATGCCCGGTACTTATCTTGAAGTTGTTGGTAAAATAGATGCTAATAATGGTTTGCACATTATTCAATTAAAAGAAATGGAACCGCCGATTAAATTTGTTAAACCAGCAAATAAAATACAGATGGGAGAATCGACGCAATTAATACAAAATATGAAACTAATGGAGAAAAACCCAGTACTAGGTCTGTATCTTGATGACTTTTATTTCTCCCCGGGTTATCTAATGGAAGCTGTGATTATGGAATTTTATAAAAGATGAAAGTACTTCGCTTCTCGCTGTTCACAAGCCAGGCTGTTGGAAATGTCAAATAACTTGAATGCCAGATGCTATGCGTTTAAGCACATCAGAAGCTGTTTCAAGTCAATCAACTATAGCTTCACCATCGTCGGGTTACACGTCAGCAGCATCTTTTATATTTCGACCGTCGATAAATTTTCTTTTGTAGCAGATTGGCGCAGAAAACTCGGCGTTAAGGGCCCCCCCTCAGAAATTATCTCCGACACCGTGCATCCGATCTTGACGAAACTTTCAATAAATGTTAGGCACAATGAGTTACGGGAATAAAAAATTTGTTTTGTCTCCAAGTCTTACGGTTTAGGAGTTTTCCAGAGATCAAGGTCCAAAAAGGAACCTGAACGACGTCCCAGGATTTTTTAATATACTTCAAGGTGGAGAGTTCGGGTTTGTTTTATTTTAAACTAGACACCTAACTACATGGACTGGCAGGCGCCGATTTTTTAATTAAGCTTTTATTGATTTTCCGGGTAACCAACAACCTCCAGAATCCGAAAAAGCCTTCCAGGTTTTCTAAAAATCCTCCGTTCGACAAAAAACTAAGACCTAATTCAAAAATCGACGCCGGTCAGTCGATGTAGTGACTCAAAACAGAATGAACTCTCTACGACAAACCGCTATTAAAAACCTTGGGACGCACTTCAAGTGTAACACTTATATAGCGAAAACGCTGTCAAACGCTGTATGAAATACTCGAATTTATGACTTCTAGGAAAATGCCTTTAACTTTTCGACGCAAGGTCATACTGAGTTGTGCGAGGTCTTATTTTGATCAGAAACGTTTGCTCTACAAAGCTGTGTTTTCAAAAAGTTTTTAATTCCATAAGTATCCAGGAAAAAACTATTATTTGAAGACCCGTTTTTTCGAGGCTCTTAGAAAACTTGCTCAAAATCCCCGAAAAATCAGTTTTGTAACCAAAAGCAGTACAGATTCTGGAAGTAGATACTTCAGGCTATCTTTTCATGTGTGTATCTCAAAACCGATTTCTTGACCGAAAATCACCATCGCTGAGGGGGGGGGGCCTTAATGCAGGGCCGTTTGAAAGAGCTTGAAAAACTACATAGAATTTTATAAAGGACGGCGGACGATAAGAGGCAAAATCGGTCCACGCTCAAATCAGTCTTACGTTAACTCATCTGATGCAGTTTTTGTCCACGATTAACGCTAACATATTTTTAAATCTTAAAAATCCTTCTCAGTGCCCCTGGAAACCTGCTTTTAGCAAAAAAAACTCTTCTCAAGTTAAGCGACGTTTTCTCCACGTATTTACATTATTCAACCTGTTTCACCCAAAGTAAATTTCAACTGTTATACACCGTTCGATAGAGAATTTCACGGGCGACAAAATGGTATATAGGACAATCTTAAGAAAATGTAATTGGGTAGTCTAACATCCGAAATACTCGGTAGAATCCCAGGAAACCGGTAGGTCAACCTCGTTCATGTTTATAGTATCCATTGATTTTACCGTTAACCACTCTACTTTATACATCATGCGATAGAGAATTTCACGGGCTTCAAAATGATGTATAAGATAATCTTAAGAAATGTAACTGGATAGTCTAAGATCCGAAATACTCGGCAGTTTCTCAGGAAACCGGTAGGTCAACGTCGCTCACATTTATAATGGCGACTAATTTTCTCGTTAACCATTCTACTTTACACAGCATTCGATAGAGAATTTCACGGGCAGAGTTTTACCCTCACCGTCTCTCACTCTATAAATGAGTCTGAATTGAGATATCATCCAAAGAAATATTTTATAGAAAAGTTGTGATTAGGCATGCACCAAACCGATAGTTCGGTGACCGAACGGTTCGCAACCGAACATGTTCGGCCACCAAGCGATTTGTTACAGAACGGTTCGCTACTGAACATGTTCGCTGCCGATCAGCGAGCCCTGGCTTGGGATGGTTGCATGCCTGATCTGGACTAAAGGCAAATTGAATGGAATTGAAGCTTTCGAAGGAAGTAACCAGTGAGAAAATAACTTTTCTTTACCTGACTACCTACGGCTACGGTGTAACCTCCGTTTGGTGTAATCTTCACCATTTTTTCTGTTTTACACAGATTTCTTCATGTGTTTCTTCGTTCTCAAGTTCTTAACTTTGACAAACTACCTTTTTTAAACCTTTGGTAGCGATTCAGTAGAAGACACATTCGCTCACATTGTACTTTAGTCTATTTTCTCACTGGTCAGTTCCTTTAAAAGCTTCAATTTCATTCAATTTGCCTTTAGTCCAGATCAGGCATGCAACCATCCCAAGCTAGGGCTCACTGATCGGCAGCGAACATGTTCAGTAGCGAACCGTTTGGTGACCGAATATGTTCGGTTGCGAACGATTTTGGTGCCGATCAGCGATTCCTAGTTTGGGATTGTTGCATGCCTAGTTGTGGCTGAAGAGGAATTTTTTGTTTTTGATCGCTTGAAACACATCAAAAGAGCTGAAATATATATTATGAGACAACAGAATCTCACCATTCTGCTGTTTCGAATGCTAAAGGTTTATTGTCTGTCAATGCAAACCTTGTACAAACGAATTTTCACTTTTTATCATATAAACAGTCATTTTACTGTTTTCAGCACCATCTGGACCATATTCAAAATGTTTACTGCAGATAATTAGCTGGTTTTTTGAATGTGATCTGACTCCTTTCTACTTCTATTTTGTTAAAAAAACTATTTTTATTTACGATAACTCAAAGCGCAATTTTGTGTTTATTTATTAAACTGCATTTTATCATTTACACCAAATTCCCTTAGTTATTCCACTGGTACACGCAGTATGCCCTTAAATTCTTGAAATAAAAATTTTTTTCTTGCATGAAACCACTAAACTCATATACAAATATTTATTGTTATTCGATTTTCAGACGTTAAAAACCACTGAGAAAACAAAATAAAATCTGTCTGCAGACAAAAACCATGGTGCGTGGAATGCGTGCCTTGAAAAATCAAAAGAATTAAATAGCGTCCCGCTTTATTGGACTAATACTATGGTGTGTTTGTTTCCTACTTCTCGTTTAGGATCGGGTAATTTGGAAATTGGAAATTTTCCTCTTGTTATTAGTTTTTGTTATACCAATATTCATGCATTAGATTTTCAGCTTCTACACTCACTCTCACT